TAGATATTAAAACGTGAGGACTATAAATTATGAGGAGTTATATACTTGGTTACCATACAAACTAACCCATGATTAGATACTCCTTACTCCTTATTTTTTTTCACAAAGCAAATTTTTTTAATATCGTAACTCAACCACTATATTACAATCATTTGGTTAGTATGTAATATTCCTTACTCCTTGGATACATGTGATATATATTGTCACATTATTATATACGGAGCATGTGAACGAAGCTATACCATATTTTGGTATTCAAAGGATATGTCGGTGTCAAAGAACCAATTTGCTTTAACGGACCTACTGTTCTATTTAGCCGCCACACAATAATGCAAATGAGTATTTATATTGCTTTCGAAATTGTCATGTGATCAGTTTTTAATACAAGTATGAATAAAATTACGTCAAATGGAAACATTTATAAACTCGTATTGTCACATATACACATCAAATATCGCACAAATTTTAATATTTATACGTTTGTTCTTTTCTTTTTTTTGCGGATTACATTAGCTACAACAATGCAAATATGGAATTACCTTAGCTACAACAATGCAGATTTGTAAAAAAAAAAAAAAACAATGCAGATATGGAATTGTCATGTGAAATTGTGAATATTGCTATGGGCTCGTGTAAGTATTATAATATATATAGACTCAAGTTGTTGTTCAACCTAACTGTTGAAGAGTTTTCAAAGTTCAAAGTATCGTGTTCTCATCGATCAGGTCTTGCAAGTTTCAATGAATATTAGCATGATTTTTTCCCCTTGGCACCATCGTCGACGACATTTATTATAGAATATATTATGTCTCATAAACTTTAAATATTCTTTATTGGTCTCTAGTTGGCAATGTATTTTATTTAAATAAAATTCGCATAAATACTATTAAATGAAATTTTGTTTTTAAAACTATCGTTATTTTTTAAATGTTCCACAAATACCACCAATTTTAAATGTTTCACAAATACCATAAAACTCAAATTAACTTTCAACATTCAAAACTAAACTCTAAATCCAAATCATATCCCTTAAAAACTATACCTTAATTCTACAATAGTTAGCTCAAATCTAAAAAATTTAAATTATATAGTCTTGGAAATCAATTTCGTATTTGTTGAACATTTAAAAAATAGTAGTATTTGTGGAATATTTGAAAAATGATGGTACTTTTGAAAACAAAATTTTAAATTTTAAAATGTGTATCATAAAAAATTCTTCTTTAGTATAGAATATATGATGTCTCATAAACTTTAAATTCTTTATTGGTCTCTTGTTGGCATTGGATTTTATTTAAAGAAAATTCAACGCACAACTTCATTAAACAAAACGACTAAACTATAATTTTGTACAAAGAAATATTTAATTGAGCACAAACAAAATAAATCATATTAGGACTTAACAATTTCTCGAGAAGTAGAAATATCTTATAACAGATACATTGTAAATGTTTGTAAAATACTTATAGGTTTTCAATATCTCTTTGCACATTCGATATATGTCAGAGACCAATAAAATTTCTTTGCACATTCGATATATATATGTCACCAGAGACCAATAAAATTTCAAGAAAAAGGGGGGGGGGGATGATTTTGTTAACACGGAATATGATGTTTAGTGACAACAAATTACCAATAATCGAAATTGCACTCAAATCATAATTTACAACTTAACACAAAACGTTTATTGCAAATCACGCATTGTGTTAACATCCTAAGTGTACCGTTAAGATATCGACATGTGTTAACATCCTAAGTGTAGCATCTTCACGTGCCCTAAAAACTCTGTCCCATAAAATATCCACACACAAAGTTTTCCCAATGGGTCCCACTTTTCTAATAGCCATCAGCCGACACGAGGACTTCACTCCGTTAGAGTATAATGTAAAAAGACCCTCAGCGTAGTATTTAATAACGAGAATGCCACCGTAAATAGAGTTAGCTCACGAGGATAGGATCGTAATTCATCTTCAAAGATTTGAGAGGGGCAAACTGGTTAACGCCTTCCACTAGCGTCGCCGTCAACTTTTTTTAAACTCTTTCTATTTCTATTTTTATTTTTATTTTTCACGGTATGGGTGTGGAAAACGTGCCGAAAAGTTGTAACAAACCCACCTTAGTTTGGTTTCGAATTGACGAATTAATTCATTTTTTTTAATATAGAGTTTCTAGTGATTTGTAATAAAATTTTCATCATTTTTGTTAGTAAAAAGGTGAGAAGTCTTTTTTTTTTTTGTGTGGATTTCATTGATTCTAGAATTTACTTTTCAAATTTGTCGTTTGCGAATTTAAGTTTGATTTAAGTCTTTTTTCTTAAGTCTAACGCTTGTTCTTCGTATAGATTTCCGACTGCGTCATTATTATACTCACCACCGCAATGCACAATGGAAGACTTAAACCATCGAAGATCTCTAAGAAAATTGTGTTTAGTCTATAGCGATTTTGCATACATGTTAATTGGTTAGGTGTGAAAAGAAAGACACTTGTGACAAAGTTTTCTTTATTGCACACGTATCACTGTCACTTCAGATTAAAAAGAAAAGAAATGAAAAAACACGTTATTTATTTTCCTCATTCGCCTGTTTATAAATTTATTCGGGAGAGCTTAAAGCCACAGAAACTTTATTGGCTTTTGATCCAAAAAAAAACAAACTTTATTGGCTAAAATGGGTTATTTATTTATAACAAACACATGGCCAAAAGGCTCAAGAGCATTTATCCTCTTGTAGATCCCTCAAGTTAACGTGTAAAACCCACACAAAACACAAGAATCTTGAGTTGTTTCTTATCTCTCATCACAAGCAAGTATGTCGACCGGACAAGCACCGGAGAAGTCGAATTTTTCCCGGCGATGTAGTTTGCTCAGCCGTTACTTGAAGGAGAAGGGAAGTTTTGGAAATATAGATATGGGTTTGGCTCGAAAACCCGATCTTGCACTCGCCGGAAAATCCGATCTCAGAGGTATTTGTTTCTTGGCCGCCGCCGACAAAGACCAAGAACTAAATTATTGTTATTATTATCTTTTTAGAATCTTTGGTTCGTTGATTACTCATAATAGGCTTGTATGGGCTTTTGGTCTAAGGTTCTTTAAAAAAAAAAAAATGTAAAAACTAAAAATTCCGGTTTTTTTCTTAAATATAAGCATTGATACTATGTTTTGGACCGTTTAGGTGTATTAATGTAAGAGATTTAGTGGAGTTAAAAGAAAAAAAAAAAGAAAAGCTAAAAGATTTTGCATTTTGATTTTGAAGAAATTTTCTATTGTTTGTTTTGTTTAGGTGAACAAAATGTAATTAAGAAGACAGAACCTTTGGAAACCAGAACCTTCGAGTTTATTCAGAAGCTTTCTGTTTGTGAAGCCTCTACTTCTTCCGGAGGCAAAACCAGAGGCGCCGATCTCAGGTACGTACCGTACACCACAAAGTGTTGGACGATTAATTAGTACCTAAAGATGTTTTAATCTGTACATTTTGTGGTGAACTGGTGAATGAATTAGAACCGATTAGACATGGTTTGTAGATGTGTGGAATTTGAGAAATGTACCAATGGTTTGATTTGGTTTTAGTGAACCGGAAAGCGTAGTACCAGAGCCGGGAAATTCCCAGCTGACCATATTCTTTGGCGGAAGAGTTATGGTTTACAATGAGTTTCCTGAAGACAAAGCAAAGGAGATCATGGAAGTAGCGAAAAAAGCGAATCCTGTGGCTGTAATTCATTCGAAGGACACTCAAAATCACATGGATCTCGATATGAACATTAGCAACAAAATCAATACTATTGTGATTCCTGACCTCAATGAGCCAACGAGTTCCGGGAACAACGAAGATCACCAAACAGGACAGCAACATCAGGTCGTGGAACGCATTGCAAGAAGAGCCTCTCTTCATCGATTCTTTGCGAAACGAAAAGACAGGTAAACCAAATTGGAAGATTTTTTTTTTTGTCTAATATGAATTGGTCATAATATTGAGAATTAAGCCGTGTTTCGGAAATATATATAGCTAGATTTTTTTAGAAAGCTATATGTAAAATAGCTAATGAACTCAACTTATTAGAATTGGGATGTTTGGAATCCATTATTATGTTTTATGCGTTATGGATACTCCACAAAGTACTAGTCTTGAAATTAGGAAAGTTATCAGTAAAACTTTTTAGTTAAAGAAAAACTAATAATTAAAAGTTCTTTGTTAGTCAAAATTCAACTATCTACTCTCTTGTTATGTTAATCAAATTAAAGTTCTTTTTGTATGTAATTTGTTTAATTTTGATTCGATGCTTCCGTATACTACAAGACCAATATAGTTTACAAGTATGTTTTGAATTTCAGGGCTGTGGCTAGAGCTCCATATCAAGTGAACCAAAATGGTAGTCATCTTCCTCCCAAGCCAGAGATGGTCGGTCCATCGGTAAAGCCAGGACCATCCTCGCACCAGCCTGCGACTCCTCCAAAACCAAAGGGACATAACAATATGTCGCCGATAGAAGTGGACAAAGAAGAAGGACAGTGTTCAAAAGATCTCGAACTCAAGCTTTAGGACTTATAAAGTTTCATGAGTTCATCATATTTGTAATTTTACTTTATTTAGGATTTGAAGCCATAGATTAATGATTTTATATATTATTCCATACTTTGAGTTTCTTAGTGTATGATGTAGTCATACTTCTGTATTCATAATTTGATATTTGTCAACGTGGTGTAGATTCTTTGTAATTGTCATTTGGATTCTTCATGTGTTGGAAGATTTGTCAAACTCTAATCCTTTGGCCCAAACTCGACTACTTCTAAAGAGAAACAAACATATTCTATAACATGATTTTTGTTGTTGTTGCAAATCCACCATATATTTAACATTTGAATCGAAGTTTAGAAATCTAAGTGGCCCTAAAACAATTTAGTTCGCAATGAAAATCTAACTCCGACACACTTAAACTAGAGGATGTAATTCTTTTTTTTTCTAGGTCATGGTCCAACTACCACTTCACCATCTTGTTTGGAATTCATCGATAATATTTGTATACGTATTTAAGTGATTCATTTGTATGCATAATGATGCAAGAATATGGGTGCAAGGTACATCATCAAACGAAGTCTATCTTTC